AGAGATACTTCTTTAGGATGGCGGAGAAATTAGTGATGGACCTGATGGCGTCCGAGATGCTCAGCCAAGCTCAGTAGTTGAATTGGAACATAGAGTGTTGGAGGTTGGAGGTAGCCAAAGGAAGTGTCGAAGAAAGATGTCTGTTTGTGCTCCTAGTACGTGCGAATTAAATTTACATTTTAATAAGTTGCATGATAACAAAAGACAACATTTGGAACCAAAAGTAGAATACACGTATAACAACATATAATGGACAGCTAAGTAGCTGATTTGGAACCAAAGAGGGTTATAAGTTAGACCTAACCAAATCCAAGTGTGCAAGTAAGACGCATATTATTTATTATGTACCCCTAGTACGTAACGGACAGGGGGGACGTGGCCCCCCTCCACCTAACATCGTGAGAAATTTGTAACACCCTATAGGTATATGTACAGTAAGTCATCAATTCACTTTCTAATCATAATATTGTGATTTTTCATTATGAATTCAAACTATATATGTGTAATTATTGAAAAAGTTGTTGAGACATACATTTGATATATATATTTATTACACTTTATAAGGTGCCATCATATTTATTTCACTCTTCTTAATCAAAATTCCTAATTCCACCAGTGATGTCATATATGGTCCAGTCTGCACAAGCATGTATCAGAGCTAGCCGTGTGACAACGACGCACACATCGCTGGCCGGCACAGATCTCTATATATATGTGGGGCCATGAGGGCAGGTCTCGTACCAGGGCAACGAAGTTCAACACCCTCTCTCAAAAAAAATCTCATCACAGCCATCCCCACTGTTGCGCGCTGCAAGCAGCATGGCCCGCGGAGGCCTCGTCATCATCGTGCTGTCCCTGCTAGTCGCCGGCACTCCATCATCCGACAGTGTTCCCACGGTTGATGAGTAGCACGACCATGTCACCTGGTCGTCGGCCGTAACAATACTTTGCCATCAACGTCACGTTCATTGAGGGCAGGGGCAGATCCAATGTGAGGGTTGTGGGGGCACAAGCCCCCTACCCACCAGAGCTTCATGGATTTAACAACGAGATAGGAAAGAGGAGAAGAGGAAAGAAAAGGAAGAGGAGGAATAGAGGGGCTGGAAGAAGAAGGAAGATGAGCAGCTCCTACAATTTAATCCCTGCGTCCGTCTCTGATCGAGGGAATGGTTGTCAGCAAAATGGTCATCGTGGGCTCAAGAACAAGGGTGAGGACATCTAGCGCGAGATGATGAGATGAAGTGCACACATAGGAACACGTGGAACTTCACCTCAGACGATGGCAGAAAGCTTCTGACGATGACGGCATCGATGTCCATCTGAGTCAACATTCCTTGCATTTCAAACCACCATGTGGACCCTTATTGTTATGGCCGAGGATGTCATACCGACCGACTGGCAACTACTCCCTCTATCCTATAATAGAAGTCGTTATGGGATATGTACATGTCAAACTTTTTCAGCTTTGATTAGGTTGGTAGAAAACGCGTGCAACATTTATATCTCCAAATAAGTTTATTATGTAAGTATATTCAATGATCTATCTAATGATACTGATTATGTATTATAAATATTAATATCCTTTTATATATAATTGGTTAAAGTTAAAAAAACTGATTTCTCATGAGGCGAAAACGACTTCTATTTTAGAAGAGAGAGGGTAGATCAGATCTGCTATGACCCAAATCCAGCAACCCAATGACGCGTCCTCTGTCCTAGCTAAACATTCGTTCTCTTCAATAACTTAGGCCGCGTTTAGTTCGCTGCCGATTCGGCATTTGCACAGTGTTCGATGTGACGGTGAACACTGTAGCAATTTCGTTTGTATTTGTGGATTATTGTTCAAATATTAACTAATTAGGCTCAGAAGATTTGTCTCGCAAAGTTCAACCAAACTGTGTAAATAGTTTTTTATTTCATTTACATTTAGTACTCCATGCATGTACCGCAAATTTGATGTGACGGGAAATCTTCTTTTTACATAGTGCCAAATTTTGGATTTCAGAGAAACTAAACATGGCCTTAGTAAAATTTGTGGCACGTGCAGCTCGCTCCGTGCAAGCTAGTACGTCAGACCGTTAGTTGTAGCTCGATTAATTACAGCCTCTAGTTGTATAGATCAATTTGTATCTAAAGGTTTTAATTAATCGTAATAAACAACACTATCTTCTCCTCGCAAAAAAGCACTATTCTTCTAAGTTATTTCGACTCTCATTACGCCGGAACTAATAATTACTCGCTCTGTTAGATTGGTTGATAAGTCATGGCTGAAAGTACTGTTATCTAATTTGTTGTGAGAGAAAAATATTATTCGTTAGCTGAAAAAGTACGGCTTATAAGTTATACATGATCTAAATAAATCTATGACTAAGTTATAGATAAAGTATAGATTTAACCTGCATAAAACTAAATAAATCTATGACTAAGTTATACATGATCTAATGAGTATGAAATTTTTACTACAGTTCAAGCATACAATAATGAGCTCATCATAAACATTTCACCATAAGTAGACCATAGAACCTGTAGGTATGAATTATTCCAATTAATTAAAGAAAAGCATAGATCTAAAGTTACAGCAAAAAACTTTATACTAAAGCATACTATATTATATGTTCACTTTGTAGATCTACTCATGTGGAGTCCAATAAAATTAGATTTTCTTTTTTATGATTATTTACTATGATTTTTCAAAGATTCAGCGAAAATAAATAAAAAAGAAAAAGATAAAACCACAATCATTGTAGCAAAACCATAGTCCAAAACCGTTTTTGGGGTTATTTAACCGGTTTTGAAAAGTTCATGCGGTAGAAAATCCGGTTTTATAGTTTGAGGGGTGAAGTAGTCCACCCTGAATAGTTGGGATCATGTAGATTTTTTCCTATAAATATACATATATAAAATCTTTATATCTAAACAATCAATTCTTTTTTATAATTTGCAATGAAGATAGTAGAAAATTGGAAATCAGAGCTAACTTGTATTTTCACCAAGACAAATAGTGCCTTCATCGAGACCCTGCTCGTTTCACTAAAATTTAGCTTACGCTGATTTATTGTGAGAAAAAAATAATATTCATTTATTAAAAAATACTGCTGAAGTAGTTGAAGCAAACAGGGTCTCGAAGCAATAATCGAGCAGTCCATCAAATGCCGATCTCGTAATTTCTTTTGGGATCTCCTGATTTTAAGAGTACCGGTCATAAAAGCGGTCTCGATGCTAGAAATTACGTCTACTTTCTGTGTCTTTTAAATATATAGAGGCTACACGTATAAATATTTTTCAATGGCCAGCTCTTTTAAAACAACTTTTATCCACGTATCTCTTCTATTTAGATGAAGGCTAATAGTACAACCTGTTGGTGGCTATTGTTTCACTTCTTTATCTAACAATTTTTTTTGTTCTCGTGCATATTCTCTCTCTTCTATCCCAGCATTCACCTCACCTACAACCCTTAGACTATAGTTGCTCCCATTATCTACTCGTCGCATCTCTTCGTATCTTAGTCAGTTTTAATGGAGAGTTTAATCTCACAATTACTAAGACTGCCACGTCAGTTTTTGTGTTAGTAACTGTGTCACGGCTAGTTTCATCTCTCTCTTCATAAATAAGCTGCCAAGTCAGCAAATTTGCTGATGTGTTACTGTATCGCCCTGTTCGTTTGGTTTATAAGCCATACTTTTTCAGCCAACGAATAATATTTTTCTCTCACAACAAATCAGCTAACCGTACTTTCAGCCATGGCTTATCAGCCAAGCGAACATGATGTATATTTGAGAATGAAACTCTTTTCAAACTCTCATTAAGACTAGCTTAACAAACTATTTCCTCATCTATCTTCTCTATTTCAATATCACATTATTATTTTGCTTAGTTAATACTTTAATTAATAAATAAATATAGAAACCATTTAAGTTATTATAGCGTGTTTGATTCATGAAATTATCCCATGCTTCATGAGGTGGTGTATCATGAGTTGATCCTATAAATTTTAGATAAATCAACCTAATTATAGGTTATGGAAAATAACATAGTAATAAATCAACATAATTCTATTTTACAAACTAAATAAATAAATCAACTAATTCTATTTTACAAACTAAATAAAAACTTTGAAAATGAGAAGAAAATAAACCACTTCATTCTTCGAACAAACACACCTGGATTGAGATAGCCCTGCTAGCGCGAGTGAATTGTTGGGCAACAGCCAGTGACAGACAAACCGGTCAGGTACAATGCATCTGAACACCGGGTCCCGGAAGCCAAATAGAGCCACGTCACCCCAAAAATTTGACCTCGCTCCCGCTGCGTCTCGATCGCGGGGCCAACGAAACGGGCGCTTCCTATCCCATCAGGCTAGTCCCAACGATGTATTGACGATGTTTTTATCATTATTAAATAACTTATCACGTAGGTAAAACATTGACATGATAACGTAATTAATGAAAAAAGAGAGTAAAAATCATAGAAATGGTTTCCCAAGAAAGCTATCACCAATACACAAAAACCTGTCCAAACGTCGGCGACCAGAAGGCTGAAAAAAAAATTATTACTCATAGAAATTATGGATTAAAAAATAGTATTTTTTTTGTGCGGTATCCTAGGTTATATAAACTATTTATTTCTTTCGTTGGGACTGCCCTCAGCTATCACCTGCCTGTCCACACGTCGGCGACCACGCCACTGTTGTTTAGCCGTTGACCTGAGGGACCCATGACCCCAGGCCAATGCCCAGCCAGGTAGGTCCTACATGTCATTGGAGCATAGCCTCAGGGGGCAGCGGAGGGCACGGCTTGCTCCGCGTCCGCGAGGTCACGGGCGAACGCGTGGAAAGCGACCGTCGTGGGGCCGGCGCGTCAGCGGCGCGAGCATTTGGGTCGTGGAGCTCGGCGTGCGACACCGCTCGCACCGTCACTCGCAGGCCAACAAATTACGGGAAGGCCCCTGCCGCCGCGAACCAAAACCCCAGCGCCCGTAGCAGGAGACGACCGCTCTGGGCAATGCCGTCCACGCGCGCGCTCCGGCGGTTCGACCCGCGACGGTCGCCGCCGCCACGACAGAGCTCGCAGGCGGCGGCGGCGGCCGCGAAGGAGGAGGAGGAAGCGAGCCCGTGGCTGCCGTCCTCATCCTTCACCTCGTCGTCTTCCTCCTCGGCCTCCGCGCTCTTCAAGCACTCCGCCGCCTTGTCGGCGGCTGGGCCGAGGGGCGGATCGGGGACGCGCGTGTACCCGCTGCGGGACTTCCCGGGCGGGGACGCGGCCGCGCTCGGCGGCGCGTTCCGGGACAACGTGCGGTGGCTCCTGAAGCAGTGGAGCTGCGCACCGGGTTCCGGGTCGGCGTGGCGCGCGCTGCTCTCGGACGAGCGCACGGGCGCCTTAGTTCCCATCGTCGCCGTGGAGGAGCTCGCCGCGGCGTCGCCCTCGCCGCTCTGCGATCTCTGTCGCTGCGCCGGTGAGTTGGCTTCGCTTCCCGGGGCCTTCATCGCGTATTTGGGCGCAGCACGCGCTTCTTTCGTTCGCGGGGTTTTGAATGTTTGATGGATGCGCTGATTAGGTTTTAGTCGTGAATTATTCCCGATTTTTGCTGATTTGGATGTGTGGATTAGTAGAACTGTTGTTACAAATGCTCTGTCTCTGTGTGATTTGGGCTTCGTGACCGTAGGGAAGATTCTTGGGGGATATTTTTCAGTAATAATTACTTGCAATTATCGTTCCTACCTGTTGAGAAATGCGCTGAATGAGCGATAAACTACTACTAATTCTGATTACATACAACGTTGGGTGAATAATAGGAATTGCATTTCTGTTCCACATTCTTGCACTTATGACCCTTTATTTTCCTGTGCACATTGCCAGGAATTGACTACTCCATGTTGCTTGTTTCAAATTTTTTTAAATCACTTCCGAAAATACCAGTGCGGTTATAATGGTGGCCCCTATCCTCTTAAAGTTTCTTTCTTCTTCTGGAAAAGATGTTGTTTCGTGCATTGATTTACATCCTAGTTCTGTAAATGCCAACTCAGCAATGGTCGAAATAAGTGCATGATCTGGACCGCAATTTCAGGTTGGAGCCACCACTGGGTGTCAAAGCGGAAGTACCATTTCATCATTCCGGCAGTGGTCGACTGGGACCAGCCAATCAGGGCTGATGCGTTGCTTGGGCACACCGATCACCTCCTACAGGGTCTGATCCATAGTAATGGCTTTGGTCACCTTGTGACTCTCCATGGTCGTGATGGTGGCTCCACTTTCCTCTCTGGCTGCCAGATCATGGATATATGGGATCAGCTTTGCGCAGCTCTCCGTGTAAAGTAATATACTCTTTCTTCCCTGTTCAGAAATACTCTTCAGTTAAGTACCTGTTAGCTAGTTGTGCTTTATAAGTACACCAGCAAATTCTGAACTTTGGTAACTTTTATGAAGGCTGTAAACTCAAGAAAGATAACCCACCTTGTTTCTATCTTCTGAGCTTTGGAAGGTTTCTGTGCAGAGCCGTCTCTGTTGTCGACTTGACCCAGAAGCACTCTGTGGACCTCCGCCTCCTGCTTGGAGTGGCACAAGGCAAGACATGGTTCACTCGCTGGGGGTACTGCCTTGCCAAGGGTTGTTTCAGCGTGTCTAGGTCCACTTATGCTGCTGCACTTGAAGCCCTTGCTACCCTGCCTGTTGATTGTCTCCGTAGTCGTCATGTCCGTCGTGTGGTCACCATCTACCGCCGCCTCTCCAACAAACCTCTGGCTACAGTCCGTGAGTTCCTCCTCTGCCTCCTTGATTGGAAGCACCTTGAGGCCCCGCTTTCTCCTCCTCCCGTGAAGACATCCCCACGGCTGATGTTCTTGCTGCCAAAGTCATGTATGGTGAAGAGGCTCAGGCAGCCATACCAACGCTTTGAGGACGTAGTTGACCTGCTTGAGTGTCGGTGGTCAAAGAAGCGTCTGCTTAGTGCTGCAGAGGTTGTTGTTGAAAAGCTGCGGGAGCATGCCGATGGCACAAGGATAACACGGCAGGCAGTGCGAGATGCTGCCAGGGGTGCCATCGGTGACACTGGTCTCCTGGACTTCGTCATCAAGTCCCTCAATGACACTGTTGTTGGTAACCACATTGTGCGCCGCGTGCCTGACCCTGAGAACCGTGTGCTTCACTTCAGCCTTGAGGAATATGCTGAGCCTGAGCCACAGCCGCAGGCAGATCATGAGCTTGAGCCAGTGGAAGTTGATGCAGAGCACAGCCCTCCTGCAGTCCGATGGCCAAACACAGCAGAGGCGGAGCGGGATCTGCGTGCTGTGTGCCGAGCCATGGTGGAGGCACGCAGTGAAGCAGCACAGGCTGTACTGGACTGCAAGCACTGGGTGAAATGGTGGGGCCTTAGGGATGAGTCTGATGACCAGCTAAGGTTCCTTGTTGAGTGGCGACCACAGCCATGGGAGGCTACTGAACTTACAAGGCCAATGCCGCCAGGGGATATCGTGGTGGTACCCCTGCATACATCCATAGGTGAGCTGCTTGTTGAGGCGGAGCATGCATTGCGAGATACATACTGCTTCTTTGAGGATTTCCAGGCCGAGTCACTGGATGGCATTGCGGGGGATAAATGGGATCCGGTGATGCTTGGTGGAGCAGAGTCTGGTGACACCATCGGTGTGCATGGCCACGGAGCGGACATGGAGACTGGGCTGCGGTGCCAGGGAGGTGCAGATGCGTGGGAGGTGCAGTGTGTTTGTGGTGCACAGGACGACGATGGGGAGCGCATGGTGGCATGCGATGCATGCAATGTCTGGCACCACACACGCTGTGTCGGCATTGCAGATGGTGCTCCGGTACCACCATTATTTCTCTGCATATCCTGTAGTGGCGCGCTCATGGCCGCTGGACCAATTTCTGGATGAGACACTAATGGTACCTGAAGTTAAGTGACAATTCTTTTGCACCTTTTGTGTAACTCAATGCCTGACGGTAGTAGTCTGACGAGTAAACCAGTTCTGATACTGTTGAGACCTTTTTGTGTAAAGTGCGTTGCTGTAGTGGTATGTGATAAGTTTAGTAACGATGTAATACCGAATGTTATCTGTAGTAGTAGACTGGTGGTAGTAGAGTAGAGGATTAGGCAGTAGAAAGAGAAGCACTATCCATGTCGCACGCAATCCGACTGGAAATTTTGTACAGGGACATATTACAGAAGAGATGCTGTAAATAGCTGTCCTGTGATTTGCGCCTTTCTACCGTCTGTGAATCTTGGCAATGAAGTTTAACTTGTTCACTGTGTTATAAGAATTTATTTACTGCAAGATAAAAAAGAATTTTTTTTGTTGCTGTTTGATTTGCTGTTAGTCTGCAGTAGCGTTTTGCAGCATGTTCGTTTCGGCTGAATTAGCTTATAAGCCATGGCTGAAAGTACCGCTGATTGATTTGGTGTGAGAGAAAAACACTATTTAAGCCGTGGATTATAAGCCAGACACGAGTGAATAAGCCGAAACGATCAGGCTGTTGGTGGTTGGGCTGGCTTCTGTTGTTGGGTTGCACTGGTCGGACTGCTGCACATCCGGTCCGTGGTGTTTAAATACGGACGCTAAAGTTTAGGGTGTCACATCGGGTGTCACATGCGAGTGTTTGATAGTAATAATAAAATAAATTATACATGTCCTAATTAATCCGTGAGATGAATTTATTAAGCCTAATTAATCCATTATTAGCACGCATGTTACTGTAGCACCACGTTGTCAAATCGTGAACTAATTAGGTTTAAAAATTCATCTCGCAAAGTAGTCGTAATCTGTGCAATTAGTTATTTTTTTGGTTTATATTTAATACTCCATGCATATGTCAAACATATATATGATAGAGACTAAACTTTAGGGGATGAACTTATCCTAGTTCCGTTATAGTTGGTGGTCCATGCAGCTACTTGCTTCAAGTTTGTTTGAGAAGCTTTATAGCCTCAAGATTGGCTTTGCTAGTTTATTTATAAACACTTAATGCTGCGCAAAATTCTCTCTCAAAACACGCATGTATGTACACCCTGCTCGTGCAGAGTTAGTTGATCCCTTATGCTGGTTGATCAGTTGTCTAGTTTTCAGCCTGCGAGCTGTGATGGGCAAGGGCCTTGTATGGAACGCTTGTTTACCGTATACTGGGTACTTTAGGCAGTCGTTTAGCGCTTGGAAGTTACGGCAGTTTAGATTCATGCATGGGTTCCCTTTGTAATCACTTGCATGAATGCGTTTTCTGGTGTCGCTTTTCATTTTGTTGCTTCTGAACTGATCCTCTATGTAATTTCGTTGTTGCGTTAATGAAATTCGGTTTTACCGGTGTGGAAAAAAAACTACTCTTTTGAGCACCCGTTGCCTGACAAATTGCAAAGAATATTTAGCCTTAACTTGTGCACCTGGGTGGAAAAGGTTCCATTATAACCAATCAAACCAATTGAGCATTATTTCACTATATTAGTTATTTTATTTCTTTTCAAATGTTACCACATCATACCACCCTGTGCCATTGTTTTGAGGCAGCTGTTTGCTAGCATGGTATTTTGGGCCTCTAGGTGGAGCTTACGCCGACTTCATTCCGGCACTTGCCTAAGCTTAACAGTAGCATCATATAAATGAACCATAGCCTGTTCGGCTAATGGTTTCTGCGGCTGATACAACAAAATTTTGAATCTCATATGGTTGGACAGAATCAGAACGCATAAGTGAGTGCGTGAGTAACTGCTAAAGGCACCCTTAGCTAAGGAGGTTGTGCTTTATATAACATTTCTTGCCTTCTTTAGCGCGCCATTGGATGACGCATCGTGTAAATTTATTTTCTACTTAATACAAAGATAAGTAAACCCTATGTATTCGAGAAAAGAGCGCAAAAGTGAGAGCTTGAAAGTCTTTGGTTGGTAATAATGACCCTAGTTATTCGGGCGTGTGATTCTGATGGTTGAATATAAGGCCATGTTGGCTTGAACTTATCAATCTGACTTATTAATCATGTTATAGTGTTTTTCTCACACAAATCAATGAATAATACTTTTCAGTCAAACTAACAGAACCTAAGTATACAGTTTTACCAATTAATATTTCTTCCTATTGATTTAAAATGTAGGTCGTGTTAGACCCGTATAGAAAAAAAATATACAACATGTGTGCATATACGCCTTGTTTGTTTGGACTTGTTTGGCTTATAAGCCATACTTTTTTAGCCAATGAATATTATTTTTCTCTCACATCAGATCAGCCCATAGCACTTTCAGCCATGACTTATTAGACAAACAAGCCCAAACGAACAGGACGATAGCTGTTCTAAGATGGCTTACATTAAGCATTGTTTGGTCCCCATGAATTGAGAGAAACTAAAAGTAATCCAGCAAGTCTAAAACATACAGCAACATAATCGAAGACAAAAACTGTAGCAGCGAAAATATTGCTCATCCAGTACCCGGACGAGTCTTCTCTGCAGTACCGCAGGTGCAGAGGGACTGACAGGTGGGCCTGGTGGAGAGGATTTCCTTCGTTCCCGAGTTCCCAAACTGGGTATATACCACGCCGGCCACCGCGGAACGTCACGATCTCATCGCTTGCTCGCCTCGACCTCCGGCTCGAAGCGGCCCTCCTCCCTCGCCGGACGACGGCGGCAGCCGTCTAACACAGCCGTGGAGGAACCGCCCCCTTGATCGGGCCGCTGGCCATGGTGCATAGCGCGTATGATGCTGTCGAGCTGGTGGCCGACGTGCCGGGCCACATCGAGGCCGTAGCCTCCCACGCTGGGAAGCTCCTCGTCGCGGTTTCCGACACCGAAGGTTTCCTCTGGGGCTCCGACTGCTCCCTGCGCATCTACTCCGCTCCTTCCCCCTCCTCCGACGGCGGCGGCGAGATCCGGTGGGACGGGCCCTACGCGCTGGAGCGGCAGGAGCCGCGGTTCTGGCGGCGCCCGCCCTTAGCCATGGAGGTCAGCGCCAGTAGCGACCTCCTGATCTCGCTCTCCGAGTGGGTCGCGCTCCACCGCCTCCCCGGGCTCGAGACCGTCGCCGTCGTCTCTAGCAAGACAAAGGGGGCCAACGTGTTTGCCTGGGACGAGCGGCGGGGCTTCCTTGCCGTCGGTCGACAGAAGCGACTGACCGTCTTCCGCCTCGACAGTGAGAACTCATTTGCATTGCCTATTTGTTTGTTACTACTATGATTCCAGTTTATTTTTTTCTCCCATGGGGTTGACCATGCGATCGGTTTAGGTTTGGTAGAATTCCAATTGGAGGATTGGAAGTGGGAATATGTTGGGTTGTAGAGTGCGAATATCAGATCGATTGTGTTTGCTTAAAGAGGTATAAAACTGGCACAAAATCGAGTAGTTAATCTGTTTAAGTTTAAAAACTGTATTGAGAGTTTTGAACTTCACATTGATCGGTCAAATTTTCTATTCAGAGATATACCATGGTTGTATTCAGCAACTCTTTTCATCTCTAGTCAGTCTTCACGCGCCTACATGCTGAGCCCATTAAAACCCTGGTACACTGTTGTTGAAATTCTTTTTTTTAGATTTAGTGGCATTGGTATTATCCATGCTTAGCCTGATCTAGTTCTTCAATAGGTATGGTTTCCCTGTTCCACCTTATTAAAACGTGTGCCTGTCATAATTGTGAGAACAGAATATGTTTCATGGAAATCCATCTCTTTCAGAACTTTTTTCTGGCAGGCAATGTGTGACTGCATCCACATTTGTAATTTGAGAAAGCTTCTGATGTGGTAGACTTCATTTTCTTGAAACTAATGGTAGGTAAATGGCCTGTACAAAAAAAAAAAAACAAGAAGAAAAATCTAGGCATTGTCCCAAGTGCGGGCAGAGAACAATACATATGTTTGATTACCAGCATTCGATGTATCAATATAAGAATAGAGGTTGCTTTGTGCCAGTATTAAAATGTTGGTTCCATGTGGTACCTGTTAATGGAATTATGTAAGGTTGTATAGCAAATGTAAGCTGACAAAGAATCAAAGATAAGAGATGTTCTAGACTATGGGATTTGGTTATTTCAATGATGTCACTCTGACATGTCTCTGTTTGTCAGGTGGGCGAGAATTTGTTGAAGTGAAGGAATTTGGAGTGCCAGATATTTTGAAATCAATGGCCTGGTGTGGTGATAACATATGTCTTGGAATCAGGCGGGAATATATGATAATAAATAGCATGACTGGGGCACTAACAGAAGTGTTTTCTTCTGGGAGGATCGCTCCTCCTTTAGTTGTGCCTCTTCCTACTGGGGAACTGATCCTTGGCAAGGTATAATACTTCAATTTTCGTGATGCTGTGTCCAATTCCTGTCCCATTTCATAAATCTGTTAGATGGCAGATCTTTTTTTTTTGGTTCAAAAGTGACATTATTCTATGCTTTACGAGAAGAGTGGCAGATGTTCTAACAATGTACTTATTTCCATTTTCTAATTTAAGGGGAATCTTATCTTGTGAAATTCTGAAATGTTTATGTCAAAGTTTATGTAAGACCCTTAGCTTTCATGTACTAAGATAGCATTGCTACTAGTGAGAAAATTTTCCAATATATCAGTGCAAATATGATACGGAATGAAATAGTTTTTATATGAATCTCTTTTGAAGCCATTGAGATTCCCAACACTTAACTAGCTTCTTGAAGAATTCCTGTTTTCTTTCTTATTTATTTTCAGTTAGTTTTTTATAGTACTGTATGTTTATTTAGGATAACATTGGGGTATTCGTTTATCAAAATGGCAAACTTATTCAAGACGGCAGAATAATTTGGTCAGACACACCAGCTTCTGTTGTTATACATAGACCATATGCTGTGGCACGCCTGCCACGGCATGTTGAGGTGAGTGATTACTATCTACCTATCTGGTATATTCAGTGGTAAGTATAGTATCATAGTAATAAGTTT